GCTTTATTCATTGTCAATATCGTTCTCGCAAAATACCATTCGAGATCTTCGACCGACAAAGCCTGTTCCCATTTTATTTACCATTTTCCGACGGTTCGAAATTTTTACGGAATAATTAGCGCACTGCAAGTGTTACATCGTAGCTTCGTTATAACAAGTGAGTGACATCGTTTTCAAGACGTCCGCGACATTTTTAGCTTCGAAAACGCCAGACGTCTGGGAGACGTCCACGTCAATTATGGGCTCAGAGAAATCTCGATGTCTGCGAGACGTCATCCGAATGTAAGGGGTTAAACGGGATAAGCCGTGGACCGCAAGAATCTCCTCTCATATTGCGTCTTGGATTAAAACGAACCGGAGATCCCATTCGCGATTGGTCGCCTCGTTGTCAGTATGTTCCCTTCCCTTCGCGATCGACTTTCCGTATTTCGATCCCCGCCTTCCTTTGCCCCTGCTTGTTCCCTCGCACGATCGACGTAGGCCTGATGTCGATTAACTGAATTTTCCTCAGTTACGGTTTCTTTTTTCCTTTTTCTCCTCCCAATCAGAAAGTTTCCAACATCCGTCGTTGATAAAACCGTGAACGATCACGTGGGCCTTAATGCGACTCGATTTGAACGCCTTGTAAATTACGTAGTTACATGTACATTTGCACCCGTTCGAGCTTTCTGAATTCCGGTTCGATCTGCTCTACAGCCGATTGTGCAACATTATGTTTTGTGTTTCGATTACGGAAGATTTATCTTAACGTTATTCGCCGATCGACGGGGTGAAAAAATCGTTTCTTATCGATGCGTGGCGCCAGAAACGCACACGCGTGGCAACTTTAAAATTCAACGAAACGAACAGGGAAAATTGCTGAATGACCCCATGAAATTCGCATACGACTTCATTTCGCTTTGTTCCCTTCACGGTTTGTTTCAAACTCTCTTTCTCTCTCTCTCTCTCTCTCTCTCTGTACCTCTCTGGAACACTTCTCTCGAGCTTTGCAGAGCTTAATATCAGATTTTAATATCGGAATTTTTTTCATTCACTCGTTGGATAGCTAGGTATCGCGAAACTTGTGGCCTCGAAGCCACCGCCGCGTTCGTGTACAGCTCGCGTGGCTTAGCCGAGAAGTTGGCGTATCTGGGTTCCGCCTAAATAGGTAATTCAACCTCTATACGTGTTCGGATGTTGCACGTCTATAAACCGAACTGCGGTAACTCGAGGGGAAAGAGGGAGAGAGAAAAGAAATCGACGTTCGAACTAGTACTAGACAAATCGACGAGAAAATTGGCTGACTGATTTTTTAACGCACCGCGAGAGATATAGGTACTTCCAGCCTCTTATTGCTATCGTTGAAGAAGGTAACCAGTGATTTACGAAACACATGTTACTTTCGAAAATGTTCATTTCGTAAGTAAAAAAGCTAGTTTAATATCGAAAACTGAGAAAAACTGTGATAATAGAAATTTTTGAAAGAAGATTTAATACGATCGCGACAGGAGTTCTATGATCTAATAAAATTTATCCACGTTCGCGTGAAACGAATTCAGGATAGAATCGAGTCAGACCGAAACGGTCGGACTTTCTAATAACCCGTCGGGAATCCATCAACGCGTGCTCGTGCAGGTAGACAATCGATTTGATCTTTTTCATTGCGAAACGACGTGGCAGGTAGGGGAGATGCAGTCTCCGCCGCGCTCCACGGACCGTCGAACCACTTTCTGACGCTCCGATCCGACCGGATTGCGTGGACACGAAACAGTTTCATTGCCGCGAGATTATCGCCGCCGCGACTTTGAATAAATCAGTCTGGTCGCAGTCCTTGATCGTACGAACTACTCTGGCCGTTTTCCTGATTTAGCGAAATAGCATCGACAGTTTCCTATTAAACTACGCGCAAAAACGATCAACAGTCACATTTGATTCGTCACCGAGGCACACGTGATTCTCGGTGTGCGTGCACTCTACACCTATATCGCGTGTCTGTCCTCAGGCCCATATATAGGGGCCCCTTTACTCGGCCGCTGGCTTACAGCATCCGCAGCCGTCAGAGTGAGTGCATCGCGGTCGTCGTTGTCGGTTTCCACAGCAGAGTCCGTGCTCATAGAGGGAGAGGATCGCCGTCGTATTTCGAGAGGAAGAAAGTTTCCGCGGATGATAGTTTTCGCGAGATTCTCCGTGTTTCCACCGTTCTCCGACCGTCGTCCAGTGATTTTTCACGAGAGAAAAATTAAGGGGAAGAGAGAAAATAGAGAGAGAGAAAGAGGAGTACTCCGTGGAGAGAACGTGAAAAGAGAAATCCACCGTGTGATCGAGGGAGAGTCGATTTATTGGAAAATCGTTGAAACGGACGATTGTTTGGTCGGCCTGCGGAACCGGCGGTCCGAGGGTAAATCGACGGTCAGAGACGTCGACGAAGGAGAAAGAGACGAGAGTATTGTGATTCGAGGTGGAGAAAGAAAGAGAAAGAGAGAGATTTTCGGAGCGGAAAAGGATTTTATTCGTTTCGAGGGATACGAAGCCAATGAAGCTCGAAAGATGCTCTGAATAGATGCTCCTGGTGTTTCGTGCTATCTGGTACTTTTACCTCGCTGGCTCGACCTGGTACAGTTTCGACGCCGCCAACGCCACGGTAATCGCGTATACAGCGTTTTATCGGTCGTTTCACGTAACACTTGAAACTTCGTGAGCCGTAATAAAACGATCGACAGACGATTTTCTGCCGTTGCGATATTAACGTAGAGGGAGGAAGAAGCTGAGGCCTGGTGGAACTGTTCTGGGGGAGGAAAAAGAGCATCGTGAAGCTCGCGTTGCTAGCGCTGAAAGCTTTTATATTGGATCAACGATTAAAGTAGCGCCTTCGAAGGTGCACGACTATCCTCTCCGCCGCCCTTGCCCCCTCCTATTTTCTCCACACGTTGTCGACATCAATTGCTGAACACGGTTACGCGAATGTTCGTGGTCGTGTTGTACGCTCCGTGTGATTGAAAAAGTGGACCAGGGTAAAAGACATTTTCTCGAGCGAGCAATGCAGTTCATTGGAGGTTCAATGCGTCTGTTCGTCGCGTCGCGATGCACGTCCACGTTGCTACAATTATTCACGTGCACCGTGTTCATCCTTGTAACAGTCGTCGCTGACGATCATCATCACGATCACGTTGGGTTTGCAGGTACGCACACGTGCACCAACTCGGAGTTCAAGTGCGCGAACGGCAAGTGCATACCCGGATCGTGGCACTGCGATGGCGATGATGATTGCCAGGATGGATCGGACGAGGATCCAGTGATTTGCAGTAAGTATATACTGAAAACTGTGTTTTCTCTTTTTCATTCTTTTTTTCACGACACCTTTGATCAAACGTTTTCTACACGCCTGTCTTCTATAGCTGTAGATGTGTAACTTTTAATCATAACGTTGTTACGTGTGAGAATATGTGATCTGCTGTTTTTCATACGTGGGAGAAAATTGTGTAAATCAACGACGAGCAACTTATTTCGATCAGTTAAAGTGAACATTTTTTGAGTTTAATGTAATACACGTTTCTATGGTCATTTTCGAAACGACCGTGTGGTTTTAGACCGTGTAGTTCGTTGTTATCTGTGTTGAAAATAAAAAATTGCACGATATTTGTAAATTAAAAATTACGTTTTTTAAAGTTGCTCCAGGGTTTTCAATTTGTGGCCGGCTGTAAAAAAAGAATTGCCGATTAGTGTTGTAAATCACCGCGAGTGCAGTTCTTTGAAAATCTCAAGGATGAGAATTACTTGAATAAATGAAAAATTGTTGATTACTTATTTGCGCACCTAATATTATCATCGAATTTATTTAACTCGAAATGATTTTCAATCACATATACGCAGGTTACAGTTAATACGAGGCTTCTGGGTGTATACTGTGTACACTTTCGGTTGTAAGTCATTGGACTTAACAGATTTCAAGAAAATGTTTATCGAGTTACGATTTGATCCTTTAAATCCAGCAAGCATTCGGTGGTTTATGAACGACAGTGTACACAAAGCTTCGTAAGAGTACTGCTTGGAAGAATATTCTCGTGGTATTTTTTTCTCCTTTTTTTATTTTCTTTTTAATCTTTCACTCTGTTAGGAGCTCGAGGATGCCTTGTTACCAAAAGTACCCTCGAATCTCTGTCGAAGTCTTTCGTGTTAAACGATCACCTTTTCGTACATTGGTTTAATCGTTTCAGCTGAATCGGACTTTTTTCGCCTATTCTTTCCATTTTGCAATGTTACATCGTTTGAAGCTTCATCAGCTACGTTTTCGTTGTTGATACATAAAAATAAATAATATACTCAGCTCGTACAAGCTACTTTATCGCTGCGTTTCGCTTGGAAACGGTGGAAGATTCTTCCAAAAAGGGTACAAATTTACACCCAAAAGCGACATTAACTGCACCGAACCTGAGTCGTGAAAGGGTTCGAGGATCTCATTATACAAGCTGTTTCAGAACTAGGAGTACAAAGTTAACTGGCTAGCAAGGGCGGATAAACTAAAGCGAAAAGGCTTTTAACGAAAACGAAACGTTTCATAGATACGAAAAGTAATTTTCTTATAAGTTTTAATAGCTTTCATAGAATACCATATCTCGTATGCGATACATTTTCATATCGAAACGTGAACGCGTAATTTGTCAAGGCGTAAATTATGAAACGTAATATCTGCATGTTGATTCACTGACGCAATTTTCGCGACATGCGTGTATATATTTACAGTGAATAATCGTAATTCCTTTTCTACCAAGTGTCATAATTCAAATAGCCAAGTACTTATATATGTATACTCTAGCTGAGATAACCTCAGTCGTATATATTGTTCTATCGTCCACATCTCGTATTTTTATGTCGCTGTCGAGAACGTAAACACAAAACAAAATCTATCGATCGTAATATTTTCACGTAAACCTTGCTAGCCAGACACGTGTAGATCTCATGGAATTTCCACTAAATTTCCATTCTATTCGAAAAAGAAAGAAAAGAAAGAAACCGTGTTTCCAAAAATATTATTTCCATTGTCACGTTCACATATCAAGAGTGAATGAAGATCATTTCGAGTTGCACAGGCTGAAATGGCGCCAGCGGAAGCTCGTAAATCTCGGATTTGAAAAAAATTCGCTCATTCTCGTATTTAATTTCGCGGCACGGGCGTGCAACGCGTTCGTTAATGGGACAATACGAACGAATTTTTGTCTCTCCCCCCCCCCCCCCCGCCGTGAGTTCATTTGTTCCGAAAAATATAGTAGGTATCGCACAAATGTAGTACCGCAGGAAGTGGAATGGCGGAGGATTTTTGGCCGAGCGAGAAAAAAACGACGACCAGCAAAACGGTTCGTTTGTTACGTTTAATGGCTAAATTATTTGCGGAAGTAAATCGTATCGGCAAACAGAATTATTTTGTTCGTGCACACGTCCGTTTTATTCAAATATCGGTCAGTATCTCTTGTCGTAGTCACGGTGAAACATTAATCGACGAGTTCTCGTTTCCCCGGAAACAGGATAAACTTCCTCTCGCATCATCGTGATTAGTACGCTTGGTATAATTCTTATCATTGCGTGTATACGTACGTATATATTTCGTTATTTTCCAGAGATAGATTGTAACGGGATATCGCGTTATTAATAATAACAACGGCTCGTTCTGATTTCAACGTGGACTACCGCATTAATATTCATGGCCGTGTATATCTCGCCCGCTACGCGTGTACATGTACGTTTGGTAATTAATATTCAATTATAATGGGCTGGTATGTAAATGCGGGGAACGGTACCGCCGTTGCTGATTACTTTCGCGTTTTGGTAATTGTTCGTGCGATCGTCACTCCCGACGACGATTATTTACAACTATCCGGCCAATTACACATTCCTCAGGCCTGTTTCGCGAAATTTCGATCAACGTGCTGTTTTCGTACACTGTCGGCTAAATGTTTGGAAATTGCTTTTTACCCGGCCAACCATGGCGGAGTAATACGACGAGAATTTGGTAAAGCAGAATTTTCTGTCCGATTGAAATGTTCGCGAAACGTGGATTTTTATAATGGTTGATTAATGAATACTTTTTTTTTTTTTTACGAAATATGTATATTTGTAAATGTTACAATTTCGTTTAAAACGATTTTGTATTTTATAAATGCGTACATTTTAAATGTACGTTTTCAGAACGGTGAATTCATATATGATTTATGGTAATTTAATTCCGTGAATGCAATTAACATGAATGATGGATTTGTGTATTACGTATTTAAAGAAAAGCCGATTTTTATACGGTTTAGTTTAAATGAAAGATGGAATTAATTGTATTAGTTGAGGGTTGTACCGGTTACTGGTATTTTCTTATTGAACACGATCCTTCGTTTGCCAAGGACTGAACGAATTGAGAGCTTTAATATTAAATAGCAACGACAGTCGAGCGTTCCGATGCTTTTGAAATATTAACCCTTTACTGTTCTTTGTCGAACCGAGCTCAATTCGTTTTCAGAGCTCAATCATTTCGTTTTTTCCACTTTTACCTAGGTTCCACTGCATAAAACGTATTCCTGCCATGGAAAATCTGATTTATGGAAATTTATTAATATAAGTGTATTACAAAATTTGCGGGAACATAAAAATGCAATGGAATCACCGGGCATGTTTCAAAGTAGCTTATAAAATATGGACCAATTGAGATAAAACGTTGAATTACGAGGAAATTGCAAAGGGTTAAAATAATTTCAGTTTATTAAGTTAATGGAAAACTGAACGATCTCCATGGACGTTAAATTTAAAGCCTTATCTTTGTAATCCTCTTAAAAGATATACATACCTACAAAGTAAAAAAAAAGAGGAATATTTTTGTCCAAACATTTTTCATCGACACTGTACGTAAATCAGCTAATAAATAACGCAACGTGTGCAATTACTAATCTCAGCGGTTCGAGCGCGTTTATTAATCAGAACGGGCACGGTGTTCTCATCGTTTAACTACGAAATTTATCTCGCGTCCCATGGGAACGAACGAACGAACGAACGAACGAGGGCATCGTATTCCCCGTGACGAGTTTTCAGAAGAGGAGAACTCAGACGATTTTCGATCGGCCCTTGTAACGCGATTCCCTCGCAGCCGTCGCCAGGTATGTGAAAGTGCAACTTTTCGGACCGGTTTCGCGCAGGTGAAGCGGATTGATGCATGAACGAAAGCTACCGTTAGTTTTGAGACACTACAACAGATTTCCGCCTGGTTCCCTTTCTTTACACCAAAAGAATTCTTTCCCCGAAAGCTCGTTGACCTTTTCGAAAAATTTGCTTCGACAGAAAAAAAACAAATTTCATACCAACCCCTCGCCAATTTACATATGTAGGTAAAAGGAAGAGAAAAAATTCTGTTTTACTACTGGCTTGTCATAAAAACTTTGTGACGGTGAACGTAGCACACTTTTTTTTTTTTCTTTAAATTATTCTACGGGAAATTAACGCACATTTCACATTCTAAATTTACCCAGCAAACTATGAAATTACACCGTAATTTTGATCGCGAAGGACGACCGGCGGCTGATCTATAATCAAGCCGCCGTGATAAAAATCACAATGTTGCTCGTACTTTTTCCCTTTCATTTCGAGAGAGAGAGAAAATAGAACATCGTGTTCGTCTAACAAGACGATCAGAGCGTGTTTTGGATTTATGGAAAATTAATGCGCGTTCGGATAACTGCTAATCTACCATAGGATGATGGCGCGCGCAGTGATTTTATCGTCGGAGGTCAGACCGGTGGGGCCCGATCTCTAATCAAACGCGACGTGATAAGAATAGGGAAACCGTCGAATTTTTCACAACTGTACGATGAAGTTTGCCGATCGGACACGACGACAAAACTATCTCTATCCGCTATAACCCGTTTCGAATTCATGGAAAATTGATGCACACTTGTCGAGCGTTAAATTTAACCCGGCTACGGAAATTTCGCGTACGGGCGAAACTTCATCGTGTAGAAAGTTCAACAAGTAGTTGATCTATAATGAAGCAACCTGACGGGAGTATGAAAATCCTTCATCGACTCCTTTGTACGCTGGTGCATGTGTCAGTCGAAGAGGTGAACGTTACATAGTTTAAATTTATCGCGAGCTATCGGACATTCTAAAGTTATCCCCGATTTTACCCGCGGAAGTACCGCGTCTCTATGTGGTATCTCGATCGTGGAAGTCGAAAGAGCGCGGCCACGTCGATCTTTGTAATCGGAACGATTATTACGGAAGAAGCAATCGTAAAATTATTACCAACACTCTGACCTCTCTTCAATATGTAAGT